CTGTGTTCATCCAGCTTTACACCTTGTTATCTCAGATTCTCCAGCATCTGCAGTTCCTATCTCTGAATCTATTTGTAGATAAAATTGTGTCAGGGCAGTGGGAAGCATTCAAGGAGGAATTAGCAAGCAAACAGGAGGGTGAGACCAATACTGGAAAACTCCAATGTCAAGAGACATTAAGATTAAGATTAAGGAAAAAAGAAGTTATGGCAAATACCAATGGCTCAATACTGCAGAGTCTCTGGACCGGTATAAAAAGTGCCAGAGGGACCATAAGAAGGAAATTAGAAAAGCATAGAGAGTGTATGTAAAAGCATGGCAGGTAGAATGAAGGACAATTCAAAGAGTTTTTAAAAAGAAAGATAAGGAGCAAGAGATAGGTAAAGGTAAAGTTGCCGTAGTCTGGGCCGCTCTCTCATTTGAGAGAGACAACTGATGGTCGTTTAATCTGAGGCTCACCGCACCTCAAGCAAGGGACGATGTCAATAAGGTGGGACCTTCATGGCAACCTCAGCCAGAATGCAAATTGAACCTGAGCTGTTGGCATCACTTTGAATTGCAAGCCAGCCGTCAAGCCAACAGAGCTAGAGAATAATTCGGGAAAGAGTAGGCTCCATTAGAGACCAATGGGCCAATTTATGTGTAGACCCAGAAAATGTGGGCACAGTCCTCAATGAATACAGTCTTCACAATGGAAAATAATGACACAGGTATAGACATTAGAGTGGAGGTCTGTGAACTATTAGAAAAAATGAACACAAATAGAGGAGGTAACATGGAGTTTAGCCGACTTAAAAGTTGATAAATCTGTAGGCCTGTATTAGACATATCCCAGAATAATAAGGGCATGAAGCAATGAATAGATAGTGATACCTAACCTGGTGGAGTGCAACAAGTGTTTCATCCCTTTGCAGCACTGGAGTCAGGTTCCCTTGAGGGCGCTGACCTCTGTAGCCATCTCTGTCCAGGCTGCATTTGTCATTTGGGAAGGTTTTGTATACCACCTATAGGGGAAAAAAAAATTCCCTCCTGGACAGCTTTCAGAAGAACCTCTAGAAAGACATTGTTTAACAGTGGTGCTGCTTTTTCCCAGGTCTCTTAAAGTTCCAGGAGTGGGTGGGTTGAGTGATATTTCTGAATTGCAGAGAGTGAAGTACTGTCTGGTGCCTTTTAAATATAATGCCTGGAATTTGGAACCAAGAAGGTTCCAGTGGAGGCCAGAACTTCCTGCTGCCTGCCCAAAAATTTGATATTTCGCTTGAACACACATATACAATGAGCTAAGCAGAATATAATCAAGTGAGAAAACTCAACCCGCTCTCCAAGTGGAAGTACCTCCCACTTTTAGGCTGTCTCCATACTGTCTCAAAGAACAATATTGCACCACTGCATCTTCCATGCTACCATTCCAAAAGTACTGCACTAAAATGATGCTTAGGACATCAAGCAAACATATGATTCATATTATTTCATCTTTATTTCATCTATTGTCAGGACAAAGAAGAAAGTGGTTGATCATCAACAGTTCATTCTGAATCCTGTGTTTCATCCAGTGTTCTGGTTGATGGAAGAGGGCTCAGTCATAGTCAGTGTGCACAAGATTTTCCCACCTACTATCTTGATTTTTTGTAGTGTTCGTACAGCTAAATGATAGATCTATGAATTAGCTCTGCTCAAAGAATTTACAGACTACTGATGTTTCAGAACAACAGATTTATGGACTTCAGAGGTTACGGTATATAAAGATTGAAAATTTAAGATGTACGCAAATTACAAGAAGATTGGATTTGTATTTTGCATTTATAGCAGTAAACCTCTGACAAAACCTCCAATGAAACCTCTGATAAAAGGTGTGCAAATCCATAGTTATATGTACAAATTTAAATTTTCAACCAAGGTGACCACAGAGTGTCTGGTGCAACATCAACAGCCTGGAATTCTGCTAAGTCCTCCTTTTATCCTTCCATAAAGGAGGTTTCCCAATGGTAAGCCCATTTTTTTCAACAATTGGTGTTAGCTAAACAAATAGTCACACCACAACAATTATCACAATAACTCCAGGGAACAACAAAAAAAGGATAATTTGAGGCCGTAAACACTGTAGGATATATTTTGACAAAGGTCTTGAAATATATTTTGCAATCTCTCTTGGGCACCTATTTTTAATGGATGCAAACATAAATCAATATCATAACATCAAATCGGATCTTCATCGAAGTATTCAAATCAAATTCTGATGAAATCCAGAACAATAAACATGATACACTGAGCTTTAGCTTTTTGACTTTATTTTTTCCTGTTCAGAGATTATTAGAGTTACTACTCATCTCTGGATTTTTCCTAACCACAACCAAATCACCCATGTTACTAATTAAAAGAACAATTAACAAGCACTATCCACCAGGGTCAGTGCAATAGTAATAATAATAATGAGGGTACGGAATGCAGGAGGGAACTAAATTAAGATAGAGTTGAAGAAGGCAGGATTTAGTTTTTTTTAAAAATCAGCCTGTTCAGAGATGTTATTACATGCTTCTGGAGCAGGTGAAACTTGAGCCTAGGCCTCTTGGTTTAGGGGTAGGAATGCGAACTCTGCTTCATAAGAACCCTCATTGGATTTAGCTTTTATTTTTTTAAAAGGGGTTTTGGTAAGGAGAGAGGGAGGGGACCAGTCAGGTTTTTTTTTTAAATTCAATTTATTTTTCTAATCAATGTGTTTAGAGATGTCATTACATGCCTCTGGATTAGGTGAGGATTGAACCCTGGCCTCCTGGTCTAAGAGGTAGGGATACTACCACTGCACCACAAGAGGGCCCTAAAAGAGAATCATTACTAATGCTGTTGAGGGGAGAAGCCATGTAAGGCTCTA